TTCTAATTCCGAAAAAAAAGCTTCGGAAATATTCCGGTCGGATTTCCTAATTTTTCTTTGGAATTTTCGGAATTCCGAATTCCGTTCAACATCCATGCTATCAGAATACTGTAGTCTCTGAACTATGAACAGTTATACTAACTTCCGGGATAGATACATCATTTCGTACTGATATTTTTCAGAGTCAGAGATTTTTCAGAGAGTTTTCAATGATATCATTTTTCCGGAATTCTGAGAAATTAGGATTACCTTTCTTGAATTTTGTAAAACCTACATATCAAAATATTTACTTCTTCTTCTACTTCTTTTCTTAAATCAGAGGTTTGGCCATTCTTAAAAATCTACCTAAAAACCATATGATTTCCTCTTGTTTGTGCCGTTTATCGAGATAAATACAAATTTCTGAATTCCAGTTTTCTTTTTGTTTTTCAAGTGTTCAGGGGTGCATAAAAAGAATCCGGATATGATAAACTTTTCGTGGTCATAACCCTGCCAAGGGATTGATGTTTGATTGGTATTGCCAGGTCTCACCGATTTGAGAATCCTGCATTAAAATCTGTACAAATCTACTAAGAATACTTTAGGAATACGATATTGTTTTTGCTTCAAAATCCTTTTCTTTCTAAAGAGTTTTTTCAAACGCCTACATATTCATTTGATTAGCGTTTTCGAGTATTTTTGGACATTCTACTGTGCTTCAGATGTACAAAATCTGTCTGAATTGCAAAAGAAAAGTGACAAAAAAAGAAAATACAACACATCATCTACTAGAGACACTGTGAATGAATAAAAAAAAAGAAAATAAGAAGAATTCGTGGAAATGCCAAGAATCAACTTCCGTCGGAAATTTGATTTCCGAAGGAATGTGTGGAAGATGAAGGACCAAAATAGGAATGTCCATTTTGGTCGAGTTCTTGAGAAAAAAACTGCTTCCTGTTTTTGAATATGGTCGAAACTTGAAGTCCTTCGAATATACGCGTATTTTAATAATATTTAGACGGTTAAACACGACCTGAATATGGTCTACGGAGCAAGAAAAATGCTTTGAAGGGGGACTCCGACTATAAAAGTTTATTGCCTTAAAATGTTTGAAAAGTTATGTATTTTCCGAATATTACTGCGAAAAAATTAGGTTTCGAATTTCCGCGCAATGAGAAATCTAGGCCTGCCATTTTCGGGGATTTCCGGAATCTCGGTTAAAAAAAGTTTCGCAATAATATTATTAGGTTGGCGGGAAAGTCTTTGTCACTCTGTTTGTTTAATCACTGTTCTCGTATATGGAGGCTGTGTATGATATCGACTCTAGTGAATAACAAGGTGATAAGAACCTTCCATATAAACAAGTCCCCATTTCCTTCCCTGCTCCTCATCTGTAATTGAAACGATATGTTTGTTCCCACTGCTATTCACATCAGACATGTTTTGATTTACCTCTTCCTATCTCACACCACGATGAAGGATTCGGAAACTTTCTTGAAGAATGTGTACAACACACATGCCCCTCACTACAATACTATTCGCAATTGGTTCCATCGTTTCGAAAAAGATGACTTCTCGCTCGATGAAAAGGATCGCTCTGGGAGACCCCGTGAGTTGGATTTGGACAAGCTGAAGCACGCATTGCAATCGGATCCATTTCAATCTAGCCGTGAACTAGCTGTCACATTCGGAGTTCACCATAGCACAGTCCTTGAAGGTTTGAAGTCTCTTGGAATGAGAAAACTTTTTGGTCGATTCATACGTCATCACCTGACTCAAGCCAACCTTGACCGCCGAGTCGACGATTCGATTACTCTTCTCACTCTCCACGCGGGCGATCGATGGCTGGACCGGCTAATAACCGGAGATGAGAAGTGGGTCTTCTACGATAATCACCACAGGAAATCCCAGTGGGTTGGAGAAGGAGAGAGCCCACAGGATGTCCCCAAACCCGACCTTCATCCGAAAAAAGTTATGCTCTCTGTGTGGTGGGGAGTGGACGGCCCCATCTACTGGGAACTTCTGCCCGAGGGCAAAACAATAACTGGAGACCTCTACACTACTCAACTACGAAACCTCAAGAAAGCAGTCGACCGTTCGGCCCTGAAAGACAAGAAAGTGTACTATCAACATGATAACGCTCGCCCACATGTTTCGAAACAAGTGAAGCAGGAGCTGATGGGATATGGATGGAATGTTCTCCCTCACCCCCCGTATTCTCCTGATCTTGCTCCTTCCGACTATTGGTTATTTGGCGATATGACACGTGCCTTCGAAGGAAGAAGCTTCAATTCCCGTGGAGCGGTCGAAGCGGCACTCAAACAATACTTTGCCTCACGCCCGGCTGGATTCTACCGCAATGGAATCCATAAATTGAGGGAACGTTGGAGACATGTTGTTGATAATGATGGACAATATAATTAATTATTCGGTTATTTTTTCTTTGAGAAATAAACTATTGAAAAAGTGACAAAGACTTTCCCGCCAACCTAATAGGAAAATACATGAATTCTTAATTTTTTTTAAATGCTAAAAAACACACTGCAAAAAAATCGGAGTCCCCCTTTAAGAAGTTTCTTTGATAATTTGCCAAATATTAGAAGAGTCTAGTTTGCAACAGAATTAGTCAATCCTTCCCATTGGGACCGTCCATTTACTCAATGAGATCATCACAACTTCTGAATCTCTCTCAGTTATCCCACGCATCCCGAATTGTGTTGCACAATACACAATCCATTATTCATATGTCACACGCATTTGTGTCATGACAAAAACCGCTTATGCTCCCTTGTCACAACTCCTAAAATTTCAATCTGTCTGTTCTTAAACCTGTTTTGATTTGACAATGATCCGATTACCATCCGAATATCCAGATTTCCAGCACAAACTACTCCCTCGCCTCGTAAAATGGGAGGAGTCTGAGGAGAGAAGTACTGAAAGGGGCGGGGCGTCTCAATCTGGCACCCTCGACATATAAAGCCTGCGTGCTCTGTGGGTGACACCAAATCAGTTTCACTCCTTTTCTCTCTCGCCTTCTCCAGACTAATCCCCTCCACCTTATAATGCGACTTTTCTTCTACTGTGCTGTTATTTGCAACGTCATCTGCACCCTATTGGCATATGATATTCAAGACTTTGAAGCGATTCGACAGAATGCCGTTCGAAATATCGCCAGCCTAGAAAACATTCTAGAACACCGGCACCCTGGATCTCATAGACACCATAAAATCCAAAAGGTTGGTTATTTAGTCCATTGTTGAATTGTTTCTCATTCATTTCATTTTCAGAGTCGACGAATCGGTGGTAATATTGTGATGGGTTAACTCAATTTGATCAATTTATTTCCAAATCATCTCACTTCCAAAAAAACAAACGAGTCTCCACAAAATGGCAAAACTTTCCTCACTGAAGCCGGGTTTATCAAAAAGATTACTGTAGCAAACAGAGTACTGTGTAACTTTTTTCGTTGTTCAATTGTTTTTTATTTTATTTTGAATAGTTTATCAAATGACAATAAATCAGTGTTATTAAAAGCTCGTTGTTGGATAAGTGACAGGCAAAGCCAAAATAATATGGATTTTCGGGGGAAAAAAGAGAAAAAGTTTGGTCGGAAAAAAAGCACACCGGTAAAAGAAATGGTCAAAATTTTGCTAAATAAATATACCATAAAACCTGTAATAGAAGGGCCACCACACTGTCAAGTTTGAGCTCCATTATCTCGGCTCCTATAAGAGATATCAGAAATTTGTCAACAGATAAAATATTGGTAATATCATGATTTACAATTTATTAATTAACAACTTTTTCATATCTTTGACAAGAACCGAGATAAATTAGCTCAAAGTTAAAAGTTAGGGGACTTTTCTATTAGAGGTTTTACGGTATTAAAGAAAATCTGTGCTCAAGGGCATTTAACAATGAGCCTTGGACCACAGAATCCCTAAATCGTTCATTCTTGAGTTTTGTATTTCTTTCCTAGAAGCCAATTTCCAGGGGACGCGGGGTCTTCAGAATGGAAAAACTGTTTCCAGAGAACATGGAACTTCTTCTTGTCGATAGCATGAATCAACTGACCCTGATGATTCTGAAATTCAAAAAAAAAACTTAATAACAGTTTTCATTTGACCAGACTAGACTAAAACAATTGTATCCAAGTACAATATTTCGGCTATTATTCATTCGGAAATTCACAACAAATAATAGAAAAATAACTCGGACGTTACACACCTACTGTATCATCTCAGGAATCGTAAAAATAAAAGAGCCGCTACGTAACAGGATAATCACTAAAAGAAGAGTCTTTGTTGTAGTATTATCCCTGATTTCAGGCGATTTGTAAATGATACTGCTGATTTCGGCGGTTTTCCGAAATCTCGAAATCGCAAGATTTGCAGATTTCGGGTGAATTTTTTTTTAAAAACAAACGACTAGCTTGGTTAAGAAAATGAAGAATAAGGAGGATGATCTTCTAAACATATGTCGAATTTTTTTTTCGACGTCAATGTAGATGATGCAGCAACTAAGAATAGCTTAAAGGTATGAGAATGTACTCTGTGTTCGAGGAATTTTTGCGGGAGATGAAACTTGAAAAACCGCTCCTCATAGAAATTCAAAGTTGGAATTTCCAACTTTTATATAGAAACAAACTCACAAATGCGAATTGATCAAAGCAATGACTCGAATCTTTTCTATTGACTCCAAAGTATCCGAGCACTTGAACATATTCCGCCTGATCCACAAGATGATCTCCTGAAAATGACACCAATCTCATATATTGTTCTTCTTTAGTTCCTCAATACCCGATTCATCCAGAAGCTTAAACATGTACTCAACGTACGCCTTCTGCCAAGCCGGCTCACGAGCCAATTTTCTCGATGATTCGCAAAGTTGAATCCAGTCGGATAGGGTGATCTACGAATTGAAAAGGATGAGAAAAGTAGACAGATGAGAAAGGACTACGTGACTCTTCGGAAGTTTTATGAAGAGAAATTCGAGAGAGATAGAAAATCTAACTAAGAGACTTACAATGTCTTCCTCTTCCTTTCCGATTGCTTCGGTCATTTTCTGCCAAATATCTGGAAGACACAGGCGTGCGGTCATGAAGACGTCGGAACGGCGACCACGAACTTCTCCGATAACCTGATAAAAAAGGTTGTGTTCATGGAAGCGATAATTTTCCAGTTTGGTTGTGTTAACTCAGTTTAACAAAATGCCATATCTTCCATAAAACTTGAGTAGGAGGGTCACATAACTTGTAACTTTGAGCCAATTTATCTCGGATAGTGTCAAAGGTATCAAAAAAGTTGTCAACTGATCAATTGTTAATCATAATACCAGAAATGTTTTATCAGTTGACAAATGTTCGATGTCTTGCATAGGAGCCAAAAAAATCAGCTCAAACTGGACAAAGGGGGCCCTTTTATTACAAATCTTACAGTGTTCGGACATCGAATATATCATCCTATAGAAGTTTATCTGTGGATTTTACACACAAGAGATTTGTACGATATTCTGTATTCTCTCTTATAAACTTTCAAATTTTTCATCTCTGATCAATCATCTTCACCTTGATCAATAAAATACCTAAATAAATAAAATCTCAAGTTATATGATATAACTTATATCTTCCAAGAAAGATGGAAGATAAAACAAAATCGCCTGATTATTTTTTGGTTCTTAAGATATATAAATTTACAAAAGATATATTTTTTTTTGTTCGTATTGGTACATAATCTTCATTTTCAGATTAGTCAGATCCCTATTAATCTCACCCAGACACTTCCTAAACATATCTGCTTTGTTTCTGAATCTTACCTCAATCAGATCTTTGAAATCTTTCCATTCAATAAGTCCATTTCGATCCAAATCTGGAATAATAGAATGATATCAATTGTCTTCTAATGAAATAACTAAACCGAAAAATGTTGTGAAGGCATGCTTCCATTTGCTCTCGAGGAACTCTTTTGGGTGCGCAGCTTTTGGGTGCATATCTGTCATTTCGAGAAAGTATTTGTGAGAGTTCAAATTGTTTTCGAAAAACCGACAGTTTCAAAGGGCGGAACAGCCAATCGAGAAGTACGTGACATAGAGAAAGAACAAATAAACTATTTGGGTGGGAAGTGGTTAGAGCTTGCCACTGCGTCACAATTTCAAGTGGCAAATCGAAACTTCGAAAGCAACGGATAGAAAAAAAATACCAGTGGGAAATATGACACATTCCATTAAATATTTGAAAAAAGTCTACGGATCATAGATCTGATGGATTGTGGTCAAACTTATCGGAGACAAAGAACAAGACAGTGGTTTGTAGAGGTGGGACGTGGTCGGGAAGAACAGTATCAGGTTACTCCGTTTCGAAGTAACCTATTTACGTGACAATGTTGATGATTAGAGCATGTAGATGATGTTTGGAAACTTGAAACGTCTTGAAGTGCGGTATCAGTTATCCAACGGTTTTACTGATTATACACTGTCAAATAGGAGCTCAATTATCTCAATGCCTATGCGAGATATTGAAAACGAGTCAACTGACAGAATACTTCTGATATTATGATAAACAATTTATCAGTTGACAACGTTGCCATATCTTCGACAGGAACCGAGATATTATGACTTGAAGGTAAAAGCTAAAGAGCCCTTCTATTACAGATTGTACAAATTTTACGGTAAAATTCGAAAGCAGAATTGTAGTCATCAGCATCGAAAATTACACTAGAAAAATAATTTCGGTAATTTTGTTCATTAAATTGACCGGATGCAGGAACAAAAACGGAAAAATAGGCTTCTGCAAGCTTAACATAAGTATAAAGCCATGCTTCAATAAAGCAACGGTAGTTTATTTATGAGATAAGTTTATGTAGCTCTCAAAATATGAATCTAGAGTATTCAAAAATGTTCACTAACGTTAAGAGGAGGAAGGCTTATAAGAATAAAATTCTCAGAATCTCGAGGGCATACGGAAGGATGGGCGTGCCACAAAAGCATGTACCACAAAAACATGGGAGGGCAATAATAAACCATGAAATATCAAGGTGTCATATGTTAAGTTTAAAAAACATGAAAAGATAAACAGAATCTTCGAAGTCACATTGTTCGAGAACATCAAAAAATAGGCGAAGGATTCAGTTCCATCAAGCGCTCAAAACATTTTTAGAAGACCTCAATCAAAAAAACAACAAAAGAGATAAGAGTGATAGGCTCGGAACAGAAACCTCATGAGTCTGAAGAAGTGATCAGTTATCCTATGATTTGAAAGAAAACGCAAGATCCCAGATCCCATTCCTTGAGGATCCGTATTGCTCTTTGCTCAAAAAATGAGCCCTGACTGACTCGGCGAGCAGAGTTTTAAATTGTTTCTCCTCTGTGTCCTCTCCTCAATCACTATGATACATTCTGGAAATTTGACACGAGACGAAGAAAAAGAGCCAAGGTGATGACCCTGACAACTGTTTTTGAGCTCTCTTCTCCGCTTCTTTATAGATTCTTCTCGACCTGTCACAAACAAAGTCTATGTTATTTTGAAGTGCAATTAAAGTTGATAAAAGATGAGGTGAACGGATGACGCCGTTGGAAGAGAAAGAAAGAGAAGGAAATTCCACAACACACATCTGGCCCCATTTCACTATACTTTTACAAAGACAGCTGTTTGAAGAAAATACACAAAAATGTGAAAAACTCTTGGGTAATGGGTGCCATCTTTTGATCCAAACACATTGTGTAATAAATGGATGTAGAGGAAAGACTGAAGATTACGGTAGATGTAACATTTTATGATACAGCTGCTATTGAAAGAAGAGATGGGCGCAAGATGAACTTCTTGAACTTAAAGTTCTAATTTCCACTAGGTTCCGGCTCTGAATCTACGAACAAAAAACTATATCAAATGAATGTGAACCTATCACTATTTGTAGTACGGTAGATGAGAACGAATAAACAAACAGGAAAACAACAAATTGAAATGAGTAACATTCATTTCGTGTGTAAAATTTCCATGCAGAAATGCAGAAAGGCTCTGAAATGTCGGGTTTAAAAATGTCGAGTTCTGAAACGTCGTGGTTCGGGAACGTCGGGCCACTGATAAGCCTGCTATCATTACAACTTTTATGAATGTTCTATCTGTTCTCCGTGTTTTGAACCAACGAACCACAGCTATGTTATGAACTCTCTCATTTTTAAAAATAGCTTCATCTTCTTCTGACCTCCGTCTCGATTACTTTCCTGAAAACACAGAGTGTATATTGCCAATTGTTGGAGGTTCCACCTCTTTCGAGATGATTGACAAGTCTATTCGTGGAGTAAGAGATGCTTCTGCGACTGAAGATCGAAATATGAAAAGACCAATTTCTTGTTGATTGACAGGGTTAGGAATGGAGGAAGACCTTAGTTGTGTAGTAATTGTCAGATGCAATGTGAATATTTTCTGGAGAAGCTGGAACAAAAAGTAGAGTGAATAAAATGTGAAGATCCGTTTTTTCAGTGTTGAATGGTTCTGATAGCTAGAATAAATGAAAGATTCAAATGCAACTGATAATCGAAAATAAAAAGGATTACTAAAAGGGAGAAATATTCGAAAATGATATAGATTACTATTGCCACTTGGGTTCAA